CTCCTCCTCCTCCTCCTCCTCCTCCTCCTTCTCTCCTCAGGTCCCCTCCGCCCAGAGGCCTCCCGAATGGGGTCCGAGTAGATGGGGCCATAATCGCATCGCACCGCCGATGCATCGGCGATGCACTGGCGATGCACCGGCGCCGTCTGGGTGGAACAAAAAGCAAATCGGGCTCCGTATCGAACCGCATAGGCATGCGGCGCGATCCTCGGACCCCATGGTCCCGGTCCCATTTGAGAGGCCTGGACTTCCATTTTCCCCTGGAGTCTTTTCGAGGGATCGACATATACGTAAGCATCAGCTCTCAGAGGTCCGCGCGGACCTCCGAAAGTATATGATTATACCGGTTGACCTTCTTCGTCCTCCCCTCGCCCTCCCCGTCCTCCTGGGTCCCCTCACCCCGCCATTTCCAATTGCCCGTCGGCCCTCCCCAGTCCAAGCTCATGCCGTTTATTTTTCTTCGATTCTCCCCCTGTGTAGGTGCACAGTCGGCGCCCTCCGAGCCCAGACCTGCGAAGCCTTGATATTTGTGAGCGCGCGGTCCCCAGAAGTGTCAACCCTTCCCCCAGGGCCAAGTTCTCCTCCCGAGTTGCCTTTTGACGGTCCTGGGGCCTGGCAAGGGCCCCCAGAGGCCATCAACTGCGAAAAACCTCCGTCCTGATCTGTTTCAAGACGTCGCCTGTCTGGCTCTTGGGCCATAACTCTGCTCTCCAGCGGCCGCTCGGGACAATCTGGGCACCCCCCGCAAACGCCATCGGCGAGGCGCAGCCACCGAAGGCACCCCGAGGCTGGATGGCCACCGAGAACCGACGCAGACTCCCGAAAACCACGAACCGGAAACCTCGCACCTCGCTTCAAGTCGGGCGTGTCCCCCTACAGGGGGATTTTGGGCGAAAAATAAAACATGCTCAACAAAAATGCCCCCCAAGTGCTCAAAAATGGTCAACAAAATCGACCCCTGACTATTTTTGCACTATTTTTGAATATCCCCCCTGTAGAGGGACACGGCCGACTTAAACGTCGCCCGTCTGCGAGGGCGGCTCGTCGCCCGTCTGCGAGGGCGGCTCCCTCTGCGAGCGGCCCTCGCGCCGTCGGCCAAGCGGAGGCCCGCTTCACGGCGTGCGCCCGCTTCACGGCGGCCGCGGCCGCCAGCTCGGCCGTCGGCCGCGGCCGCGCACGGCACGGCAGCCGCGGCCGCCGGCTCGGCCACAGCGAGGCGGTGCAGCGGCGGCGGCCGCCGCCGCCGTCAGCTCGGCCGGCGCGGCAGCGGCAGTCTCGCGGCGGAGGCCGGCACCGTCGGCTCGGGCCGCTCGTGCCGGAGGCCGCTGGCGCGGCAGCGGCGGCGGCCGCCAGCGCCGTCGGCTCGGCCAGCGCGGCAGCGGCTGTCTCGCGGCGGTGGAGGAGGAGCAGGAACGGGCGTGCCAAATCTTGACGAAAAACAGGACGGACGGTTTCCTGAGTTGTCGGCCTCTGGGCGCCCAGATGCGGAGTGCTATTGATACACTTCACTTCCCTCCCGAGCAGCAGCAGCAGCAGCAGCAGCAGCAGCAGCAAGAGCAGCAGCAGCAGGGGGGAGAGGAAGGAGCAGGAAGGTGGATTACTGGGAGCTGGAGCCGGGGGGGGAAGCCGAGAGGCACTGGATGAGGCATTCCGAGGCCGCTGTCCAGCGGGAAGAGGCACAGGAGGGGGGATGGGCGGAGGTAGGGCCAGGTGCACGGGCAGGGGAGGGACCGCGGGGAGGAGGAACGCGCACAGCACCGCCTGCCCTGGCCCAAGGGCTCTGGGACCCCGCGAGATGGTGCGTTCCGAGCGGGAACTCAAGCTCAGCCCTGCACCCCCGCATCCTTCTTGGACGACGCTAGCCGTGTACCAGGCCAACTCGTTAAGAAGTTTCCGCGTTAGCTAGCATGCGCGGCAGCGTGCATCAGAAGGATAATAATAAGAAGAATAATAAGATGATGATGATGATGATGATGATGATGATGATGATGATGATGATGATGATGATGATGATGGTGAACATGATGAGTCATAGTAGCGGTACAAATGATACGATTACTAATACTACTACTACTACTACTACTACTACTACTACTACTACTACTACTACTACTACTACTACTACTACTACTACTACTACTACTACACTAATACTACTAACTACTACTACTACTACTACTACTACTACTACTACTACTACTACTACTACTACTACTACTACTACTACTACTACTACTACCACTACTACTACTACTACTGCTACTACTACTACTACACGACTACGACTACGACTACGACTACGACTACGACTACGACTACTACGACTACGACTACGACTACGACTACGACTACGACTACGACTACGACTACGAACTACGACTACGACACTACTACGACTGACTACCCACTACTACTACTGACTACTACTACTACTTACTACGCGACTACGACTATACGCTACGACTGCGACTACGACTCTACGACTACGACTACGACTATACTACACTACGACTACGACTACGACTAACAACTACACTAAACTACTACTACTACTACTACTACTACTACTACTACTACTACTACTACTACTACTACTACTACTACTACGACTACGACTACTACTACTACTACTACTACTACTACTACTACTACTACTACTACTACTACTACTACTACTACTACTACTACTACTACTACTACTACGACTACGACTACTACTACTAATAATAATACTATGAATAGTAAAAAGTGTAGTATTGGAAACGAATGATAAGAATTGTACTTATATCGGTAACAATACAAGTTTATTACTAGTAGGGATAAAAATAGCAATGGTAATGATACTAGTAATAATAATAATAATAATGATATTAGCAATAATAATATCAATAATAACAATAGTAGCAATTATAAAAAAAACAGGCAAATCTGAATAGGCATGAACTTTCGGAGTTCCGCGCGAATTTTCTTGGATCTGCGCTGGACCATCCTGACGGCGCCTCCTGCGCAGCCCCTGGCGCGTTCCGTGCGCCAGAGAGGGAGGCCCAGCGACGATCCAAAGTGCATGCTTGTGCCGACTCTCCTCATTCGACTGGGCCATTCTGGCACATGGATTGCCTTGCCCAGCCCTCGCCCTCACAAGACGCACCTCAGAGCTTGGGGAATCGGAACAGCAGCAGCTCTGTTCACGTCGGTCGGAGGAAGTAGGAAGGCGCTGGAAGTAGATTGGGCTCCCGCCCGCCCCCTGAAGAAAAAGGAAGAGGGACAACCACTCGATCCTTGAAGCAGGAAAGCGCCTGAAGTAGATTGGGAGATGGATATCCCAAAATACCTACTTTAAACGACCAGCGAATACTGGTCCGTGGGCCTCTTCTGGGACCCGAACGCACCAGTTTCCCAAGATGCGTCCCACCGTGGCTACGGAGGCCCCCCCGAAACCCAACCGCCGCCGGCGCCGGCACCGCGGCGCCACCACCGCCACGCACCGCCGTGCACCGCCGTGCACCGCCGCCGCCGCCCGCGCGGAAGAGACGCACCGCCGCCAGGCACGGCACCTCGGCGCGCGCGCGCGCGCCCGGGCGGCCGGGCCGCGCCTCCGCGGGGGCGCCCGCGCCGTCCGCCCCGCCTGCCCACGGTGCCCCCGCACGCACCGCGCCTGGGGCCGGCGCGGTCGGCGGCGGCCGGCTGCGCAGAGCGGGCGGCCGGCACGGCGGTGGGCGGCCGGCGCAGCAGCCCGCGCGGTCTGCAGAGCGGGCGGCCAGCGGCCCGCCGGGCGGCCAGCACGGCGGTGGGCGGCGGTCGCCGCGGCGGCCGGCGCGGCGCGGCGCGGCGGCGCGGGCGCCGCGGCGGCGCCGCGGCGCCGCGGCGGCGGGGCGGCCCGCTGCGAGGCGGTCGGCGGCGGCGCGGCCAGCGGCTGCGTCGGGCGGCCTGGCGCTCGGCGCGGGCTCGGCGCGGGCGGAGGGCGATCGTCGCTCGGCGCTCGGGGCTCGGCGCTGCGGCGCCTGCACACACGCTGGGGGGCCTTCGAGGGAGACGCGGCGAGG